GGGTAAATGATGACGTGGATAGGTCCTTGGTGTGAAGCTGCTAGCGAGCTATATCCACCCTGAAGGTTAATCTTGGACAATATCTGATGATCGACTCTTTTAAATGAAACCAGAGAGCGTTGACAGAGAGGAGAAGGTAGAAATGACTGAAAATGTGGATGGAGGACAACAGAGCTGCTTCATGTAAGAACCTCAGATTAGCCTGTTAGCTTTAGCTCCGATGCTATATTGCCTTATATGTATTAGCTCGGTGCTAGCGCGACAAACTAACAAGCTAAACTGTCATTACAGTCAAGCTACAGTCATTTCTACCTTCTCCTCTCTGTCAACGCTCTCTGGTTTCATTTAAAAGAGTCGATCATCAGATATTGTCCAAGATTAACCTTCAGGGTGGATATAGCTCACTACTAGCCTTACACTGACGACCTATCCACGTCATCATTTACCCAGAATGCTTTGGGTGTAAATAAAATGGCTCTGTGTTAAAATATGTTTTTCAAAATTTACAAAAATAAACAGCCTACAGTATTTTAACAGTCTTTATTTTACAGTTAAAATATGTTTATCAAATCAAGTCTAATGTTACAACTAATCGTGGATTCCTTTAATGACTAGCTTTAAACCTACCGTACTTAACTCAACACTCATGTTACTCACTGAACTTTAGACTGACTCTAACCTTCTTTTTTTCAACTTATGGTGATCCAAAGTGATCACTATACATTGAATTGTGCTACAGATTAACATCTTCCTTCTTTCCTTACCAACTGCAGCCATTGCTCCTGGAGGAAGTTTGGCCTCTTTGATACAGAGACCCCTCCAGTATGCAGCCAGGATGGCCTCGTTATGGCTGAGGGAACCGTCGGCGTAGCCACAGGCCAGCTCTCCCACAGAGTGTCCGATGATGCCATCAGGCTGCAGACCCATATTTGTGAGCAGATCAATGAGCGCTATCTGTAAATAGACAGAACTAGTTATCATCCTCTGATAGGTTATAGCAGCGCCGGTGCGCCACCCACGCACACCGAACACTGTGCGTAGGGCATCAATTGCCCATGGGGGCACAAAAAAAAAAACCAGGTTCATAAAAAAATCCACATGACAACAACAAATTTAAACCATGTTTATATAACCTGTAAGCAATACAAAACTACTGGGCTCTAGAGTGGTTGCCCGCTGAAACAAAAAGTCTCCATGTCCCGTAATAAAGCCATCTAGCAGCAAGAACACAGAGCTCCGCTCTAAACCCCGTGTGCGCGCGCACACAAACACACACGTTCTTCTATCCTCATAAGGACTTTCCAACTGTCCCCTCAGTGAAGCAAAAACATGAGCGCGCACACACGCGCTCTGGCACACAGTGTATCAGCTGGGATTTTATTTATTTATTTATTTATTTATTTATTTATTTATTTGTTTATTTATTTATTTATTACCTGTGGAAATTAAATGTGGATGGTTGCTTGCTCTTAAGTCTCAGTAGTAAAGTCAATCTTTCAATCGGGTTCTGCTCTGCAGCAGATCATTCCAGTAGCATGAGGAAGCTCACCTGTACGGCAAGCTGCTTTTACATATGATCGGCTTCACCACAGTTACGTTTCAGGTAGGGGTGCAACAATATACGTATGTACCCGTATCTAACCGTATCGAACAGTGCTTTAGGTTCAATATACACTTGTTCGAACAATACAGATTTTTTAAAATTTACTTTATCAGTTTGTCCTCAAAAGATGCTCTGTGTTAAAGGATCAGTGGATCCGAGTTAGACTACTCCACCTGGGCTGCATTTTTGAGTGCAGATACACTGAGAAACTTGCTGTTTCAGCAACATTGAATTTAAAAACTGTACTTTTGAGGTTAAACAAATGTTCATAAATAATTTAAATAAATTACAAGTTAAAATGGGCATGGAAATTTCTCCTTTGTATAGAAAAAATATGGAACCTGTATGGCAGAATTTAGTACGTTTATATCTACCTGTATGGCAGAATTTAGTACGTTTATATCTACCTGTATGGCAGGGTTTAGTACGTTTATATCTACCTGTATGGCAGGGTTTAGTACGTTTATATCTACCTGTATGGCAGGGTTTAGTACATTTATATGTACCTGTATGACAGAGTTTAGTACGTTTATATCTACCTGTATGGCAGGGTTTAGTACGTTTATATCTACCTGTATGGCAGGTTTTAGTACAATTATATCTACCTGTATGGCAGCGAGGCCAACAAAGGCGTGAACAGTGTCCTCAAAGGTTGAATCATCCGCCTCTTGGAGCAAACGAGACACAACCAGGCCCGTGTCCTTCAGAGCAGCATCAGAACGCAGAATGGACTTTTTGAAGTCTGGCAGCTGCATGAGACTGCGGCCCATACCTGCCCACTGGGTCCCCATACCTGTACATATACAGTCACCTGTTTACATAGCTGAACCCAACTAAACAGCTCTGAACAGACTCATCTGAGTGGGAGGAGTTACCTGAACAGATGTACCAAAGAGGTCTGACTGCAGCCTGGCCCATCTGCACCTCACTGATGTCACTCTGAGCGCCCAGAAGTGTGTAGCCCCTGTAGGGCATGCTGGGAGCTCCTGACACTCCATTCAGCAGAGACAGGAAGCTGTCGTCTGTGGAGTGCTCCTTTCCCTTTTGCAGAATGGTGTTTACTGCAGTCTCTGTTCGGCCGCAGGCCTGAAGCAGTCTGGGAACCATCCGTGGTGGATTTGAGTTGGCTGCTTTAGCAGCCGGACGAAGAATGACGTGAACGTTTGAGCCTCCAAAGCCAAAGGAGTTGATCCCTACAATGCCTCCCCGGACACGAAGAGGTCGGTCAACAACCTGAACCTGGCCATTGGTTAGAGCAGGAATGTCAGGGTTTGGATCGTGGTAGTGCAGGTTAGGAGCCCAAACCCCGTGCTCCAAAGAGAGTAACACCTGAGTGAATGATAAAAACATCAGTCAAACCATGATAAAATGAAAATAATTAGTTCTAAATGGCTTACTAAAGTTTAACTAAGTCTCTGAAAAAAATCACCCTCAAACTAATAGTTTAACAATAACCAAATTACTAAAAAAACATTTTTAATTTCAGTTTTACAACTTTTCTTTCTTTTTCCATCAGGTTTTTCTTCATCAAGCTGCAGTAAATTATCTGTCATCCAGGGCCTGTAATCCAAGCCAGAGGAGTGGAAAGTAGTTGAACTTTTAAAAAAGGATGTTGAGATTATGATCTATTCTTTATGAAATTATCATCATCTGAAGAATCTTAACTTGTTGTAAAGCATTAATGACTTCAGGAAGAAGTCTTTCAGCAAACGTAGAAAACAGAAAGTTGTTGAGAAAAACAGACCAAGGCTTCATTATTTTTTTTTTTTTTTTTTTACATATTCCAAAACAATTTTCTGGAAATGAAATGTAATCTAAAAGTATGAAAGAAGAAGAAGCTCTACATACCTTTGCCAGGGCTGCCAGTCCAGAAGCTGGTTCTGGGTGGCCCATGTTGGACTTAGTGGACCCAATAAGCAAGGGTTCTCGCTTAGACTGACAGAAGACTCCGACAATCCCATTCACTTCCTGTGGGTCTCCGACCTGCACACAAAGAAGAGACAGAGCAATAAGATAACAGAAGATAACACTTACATCCAGAGAAATAAAAAAACAATCATAAATCATGAAGTCAGTTTTCTATGCAGTGAAATGGAGGATTGTTGTATTTGTGTTGACCTTTGTTCCAGTGCCGTGAGCTTCAATGTATTCCACCTGCTCAGGTGTGATATTTGACTCCTCATAGAGAGAACGAAGCAACATCTGCTGAATGTCACCCGAAGGAAACGTTACACCTAAAAAAAGCAAAGAAAGAAGTGCTTCATTGCTTCACGCTGATCATGAAGATTTTTCAGAAAGAGCTGAATAACTTGTTTTATGATTTATAATGTAGAAAATACATTTAGTTTCTCACATCTGAGTGTTAAAAACGTCTGCTTCTGGCAGTTTTATTACATTCAGACTGTTTTGCATATTTTTCATTAATGTGAGTCAGGTTTTAATGAATCAATCAATCAAAAACTTTATTTATACAGCTCTTTACACACCCCAAGGCAACCGAAGTGCTGCACAGCAAAATAAAAATACAGCAAATAAATCAACTTTGTTAAAAAGTCTAGCTTTATTTTATTTGCTGGAAATAAAACATATAGAGATCAAATCAAACTTCATGTCAATAATGAAGAAATATTGCAAGTTTCATCAGTTTTTTTAGGATTAATGAGAAACTTTGTTGGAAGGACCACATTGGACATGTCTGCAAAAAATGACTAAATCAATTGTAATTTTAAGCAAGATTACTATTGTTTACAAATCATGTTTTTAATAACATTCTATAGTTTAATTTATTAAATCCGCAAATATTTATTTTACAGAAAGTTTCTAAAAAGTACATTTTCTTAAATTTAAACCCTAAGTGCAGCTGTATTTTATGAATTCAAACTGTTGAATATTTTTGATATAAACACATTTTTCACTTATACATTTGTGTTTAGAGCCCTGTTTGATAATAATTGGCCTTTCTACATTAAAACTTATTTTCTTTTCAACTAATTTTATAAGTATCCTACTAGGCAGAGGCAGGCTTCAAATTTGCACCTTATGTTATATAAATCATTGCGTGATCAATTTGATTAGATTTCATGGAGTTAAGTGTGGAATTCAAATACTGCATCACTGTAGGTATAAAACTAAAAACTAAGTTGTTATCATGGTGTGAATTTTGATTAATTCTGTTATTGTAAACCTTGCTGATGATTTTTAAACTGTTATGTATTGCTCTTATTTCTGGTATGCCCCATTCAGGCTTCTACCAACCCTTACACATGATATATATTGTTTTATAACAATTGTTTTTTTTTTTAATTTTATCAATTAAAGGGCTGAATCATATTATAATTAAAGAAGAATCATACAATGAAAAATCAATGATAATTGTAGTGTGATTAAAAGGTGGAGTTGCATCATAACGGAGAGTTATACTGTACCTTGATTTAGGGCTGAATTATACAGAGACCAGTAGGAATGAGTGATATGTTACCATGTGCGATATACCATCAAAGAAATTCACCGTGGTAATAATTTGTCATCTCGCGATAAAAAACAATAAAATCCCATCATGTATTTAGTTAATATGCTGGTCTTTCTGACCAGAAATCTAAAGGTGTAAAGCACATACAGAGGTTCCTGCATTCTTGCACAAAAAAGCATTTCAATTTTTACGTTTGTTGTAATTTCTTAAAATTATTTTTTTAAATCAGGTTGTATTTACAGTTGTACAACTTTGTGATTTTTTTTTTTTTACACACCATTTAACTTGTTCTCATATTTCAAACTTGTTTGATGGCTGTCAGTTTTGCCACACAGGTGTGCTAATTGAACTTAATTAATGTAGTTTAGAAAAAAATTAGGCTGATTATACATACACACACACACACAATTTATTTTTTAATTTATCATTACTGTGATAAAACCTAGAAAATTATGATACATTTTTTACTCCATATCGCTCATCCCTAGTGACCAGTTTGATTCATGTCATGTTGGTTCTTGTGTATCTTTAATGAACATCAGCATCGTATCGACTGTCTGCTTACCTTGCTCCTTGTATCCGTCAGTATTGCTGCCTGCATTGACGATGGTGGAGTAGACTCTTCTGGACGCTGATCGCTTTGTCAGCAGCACTGCTACAGCTGCTTCAGAGCGACAGTATCCGTTCCCTGGCCAAAACAGACAAGTCTTATAGTAACCACACCACACAGTCAGAAATTATGTTTTTTTTAATTACTTCTTATAAAAAACGTGCCATGCATTGTGGATAAAAAAAAAAAAAAAAAAACACATTTTGTTTTACCTGATGAGTCAAAGGACTTGCAGGTTCCCTCAGGACTGAGCATGCCCAGTTTCATAAACTGAACGGAGGTGTTTGGCTTCAGCAGCAAGTTGACTCCTCCTACCAGAGCTGCATCAATGTGACCCTGCTGGATGGCATGGAAGGCATTTTCTAAAGCCAACAAGCTGGAGGAACAGGCTGTGTCTATTGTCACGCTGGGGCCTGGGAAACATAAAATCATACAGCTGAACTGGACACGGGGTCTTTTTGAGAAGCAGGAAATGATTCTAGTTGACTAAACAGAAAATAAAAAAACTTTCACCATCTGTCACGGTAACAATACAAAACAAACTTTAGAACTTGTGTCTTTGAAAACAGGATTATATTTGAGTGCAATTTAATATTTCTTTGCTTTAAGTGAAACATTTAGATCTGAAATGACTTTCTATGGGAACAATGAACAGTTCACATCTACATGATCAGAGGTTCTCAAATGGAGGTCCCAGGACCCCCAGGGGTCCACGAAAGGTATCTTGGGGGGTCCTCAAAAAATTCACTAAATTGTTAATTTGGTTTTTATTTTTTAAAATGCATGGAGAACAATGAACTAATAAAACAAATATAATAAACTTAATAAAAATATATATTCCCATGGCATTTAGGGGTTGAAATGAGAATAAATTATCTTTTCAAACAGCATGGGGTTTATGAGGGGGTCCTAAGGGGTCCCTCAGACCCAAATGGCTTGAGAACATTTAATTTTGACCACACTAACAAGACAACACATTGTGTGAGTTAAAGAGATTTGCTGCAGCCTTAAAACCAGTCCAGCCTCTAAAGGTTCAGTGATTCATGTAAAAACTATTTCACATGTACACCACCAGAACTTTTCCATTCGTCTCTCCACTGGAATGTGTTTGTGTGGACATACCTTTGAAGTCCAAGAAGTAGGACAGTCTGTTGGCCAACATGGCCCGCTGGCAGCCAGTCATACTGTAGCCCAGCAGCTCCTCTGGATCCCTGCTGAAGGCCTCACCGGCCTCTGAGCCACTCACTCCAACGTAGACTCCGGTCTTGCTGCCACGCAGTGTGCTGGGATTCAGACCTGTTTTCAAACTTTACTTTAGGACCACCCTGAAACCTGACATTCTGTTTTTCCTCATGTTGCCTCATTTCCTCACCTCCATCAAGGATGGCTTCGTAGGCCACCTCCAGCATGAGGCGAAGCTGTGGGTCCATCGTATTGGCCTGTTTAGGGTGGACCCCAAAGAAGGACGCATCAAAGTGGCTGATGTCCTTCAGTTTACCGTTCCTCTTGGGGAGACCATACAGGCCTGTGGAGAAATGCCAGTTTTCAAATATTTGATCACAAAAGTGGCGGTTTAGTTGTGTACTCTCTGCACTAGTGAAGGAGAAAGAATGTCATTTAAAGTTATCTTATAATAATATTTACTATACACCAGGCTGAAAAGCATTCCTCTCCATGGTATTCTCTGGAAGTTAACAGGAATTTTGTGGGATTTGGAATTGATGTTACACAACTGCTAATTTAAAAGGGCAATATCATGTAAAATCAACTTTGAGTTTTATATCATGTTATAATGTTATACTCTCATAAAAAACATGCCCAAAGCCTTGCTTTGACTCATTCATCATGTTTGAGGAATCCTGCAGCGTTTTTAGGAAGCCATGCTGAGGAGCAAAACGACAGGCGGGGACCAGAAACGCCTTTTGGTAACAGAAACACCCCTGGGACGTGTCTTTAAGCCGAACTTCCTCATGGCAGAGCGCCCCCCCTCCCCCTCCCAGCACACCCCGCCCATGACTCCTGCAGGCTCTTGGGTGAAACTGAAAGTGAAACTTAAACTGTCTGCTGAGCTCTCAACATTAGTTCTCACTCAGTGAAGCTCTTTTCAGATTAAAAATACCTTTGAGGAAATGTATTTTCAGATGCCAAGTTAACTGCATCATGGCAGCCCCCCCAGACAGACGTGGAGGGTGGTTCTTAAAGAGACAGAGGCCAATTTCAAGGAATTTAGAAGAGGAAGTGATGAGAAGATAAGTTTATTTTCTATTTAAACATAAAAACAGCATTTTAATAACAACTAAAGGTGACATAGATACTTTATTATGGTACAGTATTTAAATATATGCCTGAGAAACACATAATATTGGCCCTTTAAAGATGCCAAATACTTTCTGTTTGTATGAAACCATGCCTGAGGTACATTACTCTTCACCCCACAGAGTCAGTTCTTTGTGTCACCCCCAGGCACATCAAGTCTTTCCAGCTCTGCCTCCATGATCCTGGTCCATAGGACCACTGGACCTTCTGTCTGTTCCTCATCAACAAACAGCTGCAGCTTGAGGTCAGAATTAAAGTCTGGGTTTAGATTAGACCAGTTCAGTCCAGGACCTTAAACTGGTTCTCCTTAAATCAGTGAAGTGCTTTTTTTCCATCAGAATTTTTAGGCTCATGTCCTGCTGGAAGGTGGACCTCAGTCCCAGTCTCAGATCTTTGAAACACAATAGGTCTTTGCTAAAGACCATGTCACACTGTAATGTTTTAGACAACTTAAACAAACCTATGAAAATTTTGTCTAACAGTAAAGATTCCCAATTTAAAAATGAAATAAAATAAATCTACTGGAATCCTCTTTTGGACCTAATGTTAACAATTAGATTGAACATACAGCTGATATGAGTATAAAGGAAATTTAGTGACTGATTAGATTAATTAAGATCCAGTCTTGTATTTTTACACTGTGATCATTGCAGCCATATAGTTTAAACAGAGGAAGAGAGTCAGTGTGTCTTATCAATATGAGGCCTCTCTGTAATATAAACAAAGCTGGTTGTACATACAGTATATGGCCACCTGATCACAGGTTCAGCTTCTCTAACCTCTGCACCAGCTCTCACAGGCAAATGTTGCCAAATGCTTCCACCACCATGTTTCACTGCAGGGACGGTGCTGTCAGCATGATATTGGTGTTATTGCTTTGACTTCAGACCGGGTCTTTGTGATCAAATGATCAGTTTTAGTTTTCTTTTTTCATGTTTGAAAACACTAATCTGTCCTTTGGTATATCTCAAATATTCTAAAACTAAAATGGGAGGCAAACTTTCAACTCTAAGGCTTTTATTTTGCAAAAGAAGCTTGCAGTTTGGATTTGGGGGGGGCTGACACTTTTGTTTGTTGTGTGTTTGTGTACGATAAAGAAAATACATCACATCCATTGAATATAAAACAGAATAAATGTGGGTGTGAAAATAGGAAACAGTGTTTCCCCTAGGAAATTGGGCTTGGGGGAGGGGGGGGGCTACTTGTTTTATAAAAACATAAATTTACGTGACTCACCTGCAATTATGGTAATAAATTTACACATACATGAATATTTAATTGCCTAACTACTTCCTAGTTAAGGACTCCTCATGATAATTATCAATAAAATTATTATTGATAATAAGTGATCAGAACTGTGTGCAGCAGATGATCTGAGTCCAGAGTT